CAGCAGAGTAATTTGTGAATTGCTGAGTGTAGGGTATGTGCCAACTGGGCACTGACTGGAGACATTGTGGAGCAGTAAGAAGAGAAATGAATCAAAAGAGGGCATTTGCCTCATGAAAGAAGGAATGGCACAATGTGAACTCTAAGCAAATTCAGACCAGGCTTCTAATTCTGACACTTAGGATTCAAGGGAAATCAGAAAAAACGCAAAAATCTATGGGGCTTTGTGAAGTGAGCTGGAGAAGGCCTGTCATCAAGGATTCCTGGGGTGTACAATATAAGAATGTTCCTGGCACAGTGCCTGGAATTTATGGCATCTTTAATAATTGGCAATTATTACTGTGTCATTTTGACCTCAGAACCTACCAAAATCTGCTCTGTGACTTTTTAAAAACAAAAATATGTCAGAGAATATGTAGCACTCTATGATATGGCACACAGATCAGCCAAAACATTGCTTATAAAATAAAACTAAGTTATATACTATATATAACTTTTTGAGGATATGTTATTTATAATGAGTATGGGCTACAAGAATTTGTGTCACCTTCCCAACACTTCACCCCTTCAAGTTTCCTCACCTCACAATCTATATGTACATTATCTTCCAGAAAAGTTCCTGTCCAAGGAGTACACCTGGGGTGTGGAACACTACATCCAAAAGCCATAACAATACTACAAGTTACAACAACAATCTATAAGAGATAATATAGACTAACCCAAACCTGATTGGCTTTTATTTACTATTCCTGGACTAAGGTCTTCGCATGAGTCTAAGTGTGGTTTCATAACCAAGTCCAGTGTGGTCAGTGGCTATGGCTACCTTTCAAGGCAAAGCCAGCAGGCAACTCAGTGCATACCCAACAAGCTGATTGGTTGGTCACCACTGCAAAGGTATCCAGTCCATCAGGATATTTGTAGCCATCGGGCTGTATCCATCTGCTTGGGGCAGAAGTCCAATAAAGTCTATTTGCTACCTCTCAAGAGGTGACTCTAGATGGCTCAGCAAAATGAATATAATTGCTTTCAAATCTGTAAAAGAGTCACAAGTTAATCCTATTAAATCATGACATAAGGTGGTGCTGTGCCATTGCCACAAGGCTGACTGCTTAACCAGTGACAACCATTGCTTTGGGTTTAGCCCCAAGAACAGGATTTTGTCCAGCCCTATATTCCATAAGTGGGTGAACTCAGAAGTCTTGAACAACTTCAGAGGTATAGTATTGTCCTCACCACCAGAGGACTCAATCATTACAATTGCCAGGTTGTCTCCAGCACTGGATGTAGCCAAGGGTCGGTGACCCCTCCTCCCAGAACACAGAGGACAATTTCTTCCATCTCTACCTCCCATCAGCTGTATGGCCTTTTCTCCATCTCCCACCAGCTGCTTTGGGGCTGCAGCAGTTGCAGCATCACCCTCTGTGCCAGCTGTGTGCTGCCCAGGCTTTGGATCTTGTCTCTCAGGTGGTCATGGCCCACTGTTTTACAAAGATCTGAAGGCCCAGGTGGTCCTCACCTTAGATGCTCTGGTTGGGTACCTAAATGGTTTTCTTAGAAGAGTGCTCACCCTCTCCGTTACCATAGGTCTTTGTGCAGGTCTGTTTGTGCCATTTCCAGTGTAGCCACCATCCAATCCCCACCACGGGGAGGGAGTGCAGCACCGACTGGTGCTCACCTTTGGTGAGGCCTCAGGCTCCTGCCTGGCCCTGGCACTGAAGCCCCTAGTGGGCACATCCAGCCCTGTGCCCAGTACCAGGGAGAATTCGCCTGTAATCCTCGCATAACTGAGTGGAACCGCCCCACTGAGAGAGAACATGCTGCAAGTCTGGGTGCTGGAACCCAGGGCTCTTAAAGGGGCTATGCCATGGATCCTATTGCAGGGACAAAGCCAGTAGGAACTTGCAGAGGACAGAACATCCCTCCCTGTCGCCCACAAATATTCCCAAGGGCCTGGAACTTACAGCCAAGGGTGCTGAGATCAGCGGCCTCACCCACCCTCACAAGCTGCCAGCAGCTTTTCTTGTAGCAGGCATTTTTACCTTTTTCTAGGTCTTTGGTTCCTTTTCCTGGGTGTTGCAGCTCCCTTACTTGTTACTTGTTGCTTCATTAGGGCTGTCTGATTCAAGGTCTCTCATTGCCACTCCCACAGCTGCTCCAGCTGCCACTTCATTCTTCCCACCCCTTCCTCAGAAGGAAGGGAGATGGAGTGTGTGGCCTTGGAGCTCCTCATGGCTGCTCTCAGTATCGATTTTTTTTTTCATTTTTTCCTCCCTGAGGTGTTTGCCAGCTCTTTTCTTGGCATTTTGTCTGCAACTCAACATTATCCTCTACCCACAAGGCATCGAGAAGGACTCACACCACAGCATCAGCTGTCATCTGGGTTTCCCTCTGATCCATTTCTGCTTCCTCTAAGGCAGCCAGCAGGCCCCATTGCCTCCTGCCCACAAGCCAATTAGGAAGACCCACCTGGTGGCCCCCGTTGTACTCTGAGTACATGTAATGCCTTCTCTGTACTAATGGGGGCCACCTACTCCAGCCCACTCCTGGGGAGTCACTTGGGCCCACAAGGCCACAGCCACAAAGCACCACATACTTATGGCTAGCCACTCCTGAATTCTAGCCTCCAAGGGAGCAAACGATTCTGTACTGGCCAGAAAGGAAACTTGCCAACATCTAAGCGTATACCCAGGGCTTAGGGCCCAGGACAAGCAGATCCAGATTCCAACAGGTCAGAGAACAACTCAGAGACGTTTATGGGTTTGTATCTCCTTTACTAACAATGGTGGTGAGAAATGCACAAGGAACAGCCACTAGCCCCCATGGCAGTGGGGCTACAGTACATTGCCACCTTTATGTCTGTGGCAGCAGACTCACACACAGACATCTATGTGTATTCACATATAGCCACGTCCATGTGTCAATATCCATCCACCAGCAGCCACTTTTACCCATGCCCCCTCCAAGTTGTTTATATGGGCCTACACACATTGTGGCTCAGGGCCAAATGATTACATTAACACAGTTGCGGGCAGCTAGCAAGCAGGTGAGCCTGTTAACATGACAATGGCTGCCATAGAGGAACACACAGAATGGTGAGGACACTTGGTATCTTCACCTTCCCAACAGTGTCACTGCCACCTATGTGGGATACTCAGATACAGTTCCAAGCTTCTGGCTTCTTTCTGCACCAGCCCAGGTCATTGTGACCATTTGGGGAGTGAACCAGCAGATGGAAGACCTCTTTCTCTATCCCCATCACTCTGCCTCTCAAATACATACATCTTTTTAAAAAATCCCATACTCGAGTACCAGGGTTCAATTTCAGGCTGCAGATCTTGATCCCAGCTTCCTGTTTGCTAATGCAGACCCTGGGAAGCACCAGTGATGGCTCAGTTACTGAGTCCCTGCTACCCATGTGGGATACTTGAATTGTGTTCCAGGCTCCTGGCTTTAGCCTTCGCCTTTACAGACATTTGGGGAATGAACCAGTGGGTGGGAGCTGTTTCTCTCCCCCACTCCTGCCTCTCAAATAAATGAATACTTTTAAAAACCTGGCCTTCACTTAAAGAGCTTGCCAAAGCATACTTTGGACAACCTAATAAAACGCAGTGGGCATTTTAAATGTAGAGAGCTTTGTTTCTTCCACACCAGAGAAAATACTTTCAGCAGAATGCCTTCTGAGCACACTCATGTGGGGTGGTATCAACATTTCTCAGAAACTCCCAGAACCTGATGTGCATGAAACACATAGTTTGTGCACTGTGCGTAATTACACTGGGCAAAGGACACTGGAAAAGGATGCAGGACACCTTCCAGGCATTAATTTTTTAACTCTAGACACACCTTTTTAAGGATCTGGCCTGACTGCCATTGCCACAGCCTCATCTAAGCGACCATTCAGCTTAACTTAAAAGTGACTCACATTTAAGAGTTTAGTTTCCCCAGGCCCCCAACTCACTGGCCTCAAGACATTTTTCACTTGGTTGCTGTTATATTATCTCCGACGTTCTTTTGACTTGTTCTTTACATCTTATGGTTTAATCTCACCATTATTTTTTACATGACAGCTGTTCTTAGAATTCAGTGTACACGAGTGGGTCTTGATTAGCCAGATATCCCCAGTACTAGTACCATTACCAGTATAGCTGGAAGTTGAAGCTTGGCACTTTTTTTTTTTTTGACAGGCAGAGTGGACAGTGAGAGAGAGAGAGAGAGAAAGGTCTTCCTTTGCCGTTGGTTCACCCTCCAATGGCCACCGCGGCCAGCGTGCTGTGGCTGGCGCACCGCACTGATCCGATGGCAGGAACCAGGTACTTATCCTGGTCTCCCATGGGGTGCAGGGCCCAAGGACTTGGGCCATCCTCCACTGCACTCCCTGGCCACAGCAGAGAGCTGGCCTGGAAGAGGGGCAACTGGGACAGAATCCGGCGCCCCGACTGGGACTAGAACCCGGTGTGCCGGCGCCGCAAGGCGGAGGAATAGCCTAGTGAGCCGCGGCACCGGCCCTTGGCACTTCTCAAATCTGCTTCACTTCCTTAAATGTGAAAAGAGCTATGGCTGCATCACCAGAGGGCACTAAAAGTGAGTTTTGCCTAGGCAAATAGGACCATCCCTAATTTCTCCTGAGAAGCAGACCACCTGCTAAGAGTATCCTTGGTTAGGCTGGCTGGTGATCTCTGTCTTCTCAAGAAAAGAGTTCAGACGATAGCTAATGAAGTACACCTGACAGATAAAGACGGGCACTGAGGCAGAAAACTGAGTGTCTGCCTTCGCACAGACTGGAGCTTTTTGTGCATTCAGGGCGAACTTCGGATTTTTCTCCCCCAGTCTCCTGTCTGGAATGTTACCATAAAAAAAGCTTCCCAGGCATGGGACCCCACTTAGCAGGCCCATATCCCTCTCCCTGCCTAACAGTACTGAGTCTTCCAAAAAGCAAGTGCTTGAGTAATGTTTGCGAAACAAATGAGACAGTTTTCAAGAAGTGTAATTTATTAATTTCTCCAACATTCTTGAAGAAGTTAATCATATCCAAGTATATAATTCTTACTTTTACAAAACAGACTGAAAGTGAAATGGAATGCAAAAGTTATCATCTTTTACTTTTTTCTCTAATCCCAACCATTTTACTGCTTAATCCTTTCACATTTCCATTAGTATTTTATCTTGCTTGGCATCACTAAATAAAATCGGAGTTTTCCTAATTCATTACATAAATAGGAAAATTCATACTTTCAAAACATTTTAAACATCAATAAGCATATGACATATCACTCATAAATTTGAATTCAGAAGTTACATAAACTTTCAATTAAAAGATGCAACATTTAAACAAATTTCCAAGTTAACACACAAAACAGGAACATAGGAACACAGCATCTCCCGATACTTTACTAGTGAGAACATTAATTCATGAACTGTCCTCTTCAAAAATAGTAAAGTATCTTCTTTAGCCTTTACTTGGGGCAAGGAAGGCTGCTGGTCAAGGCCTTGGAACGTGCTCTGGCCAAGGCACTAATGCGAGCCCTGGCCGCAACTCTGGCTTGGGCTCTCTCTTCCTCATCTTGCAGTGCCTCTTCATACCAGTCTGGGAAGGCACTGGGCACGGTATCATGGATCTTGGCCAAAAACTCAAGGACTCTCATCTTGCTGGTTTCAGCATAAGATCTTGGACCCCACAGCAACTCATAGCGTGGAGGATCACTGTCGGGCACCTGGCGGTACTCCAGGTACCTGTCCTGCACCAAATCTTCGGTGACGAGCTTCTTGGGATCCCCAAAAATGAAGTGAATGCTATCTTCATATACGCCCATCATATTCAGCACTTCCCAGACTTGCTCTTCGGTGGCACAGTTGCCCTTTGTGAAGATCACACCCAAGATAATCATCAGCAGGCCTGTCTTCGGCACACCTCTGTTATCAGTCACTCTCGCGTTGCAGTTTGGCTCCAATTTGTTGACCAGGACATAAATGCTTCTGTTGGGATCCACTTCTTTAATATCAAGGCCAAAGACCAGCTCCAGGCGTTCCGAGGCTTTCTTCAGGATCTCAGGGAAGTGATGCTTGTACATCTGGACTACATTTTTCAGCATGTCTGCCTTGGTAACAGACTCTCTCACTTGATACTTGTAGAGCAGGTAATGCACCAGCATGGCAACCCTCTCAGCTAGAGGGCCACTTTGCAAGTGCTTCATGGCAGCCCGGGCCTGTGAGGCACTTGGCCTTTCTCTACCTGGGTTGTTGGTGCCTTCTTTAGATCTTGCGTATGAAACAACTGCAGCAGCACCAGTGGCCGTTTCAGGCTCTTGCTCATTGCTGGGTGCTCCAGCAGCAAGTGGCTCTTCGATAATATCTTCGGTATTGGAAGCTGAGAAAGAGGGCGACTCTTCTTCCTCTACTACAGTGGCCTGAGCATGTTCCACACTCTCCTGTTGTCCTCGTGCCTGGCGACGTTTCTCACGGGCACGCTGCTTACTCTTCTGACCCCGGGGCATGATGACTTTGCTCAGAGACGGCAGGCAGGAGGATGGGACAGAGGGCAGGCGAGGCAGTGGCCTGGAACAAACAGGATGAGATGGTGTGATCCCTGCTTCAGCAGAGAGATACTATGTTGGCTCTCAGAGGCCACCTCCACAGGTTTCCTCGAGGGCACTTCTCAAGGAACACCCGAGACTTCACTCCTCTGATGTGCCTTTTCCTTACAGAAATAATTACAGTGTGCCTTAGGCTTCACTTGTCCAGCCTGACCTGCGTTTCACTGGGGGTTGACAGTATCTGGTAGGTCCAGACCCTGTGGCGACACTGCTGTTCTGGGGTTGGGAATATTTTTTTCAACATACACTTAGGAGCATTTGAGAGGAAATCTCATTTGATCCTATATGCCTGGGGACACTCTGGGATGGCAGCAATGGCAGAGTTCTGTGAGACCCTTTTTATGCCGGGGTAATTAGACTGATCAGTCCTCACACTCCCTCCCTATAGGGCCCAATTCTCCTTTTCCCAGCTGACCTGAGAACTACCCCTTAAAAGCAATGCCTTCATATTCCCGAGACTCCGGAAGAGGAAAATAGTAAGGCCACAGAATAACATACTTTCCCTAAGGCCCCCATCAGGAAGGGCAGCTTGTGTAGGTCTCTGTAAAACCCCCAGGGTCATCTCAATATTCAAGGTCATGACCCCCTTTAGCTATAGTGCCTGGTACCATCCCCTCTGCAGACTTGAGGTCTCTACCAATCAGACCAAGACTTGCATTCACTTGATGTCACAAAGTATGCAAGTTGGAGGGGAGGTGAGTACTGACTGACAGAATGAGATATTCCCAGGGCTTCCCCACACTGTCCACAAAGGCAGGATCTGCAGCCCTCAGTCAGCACTTGGGATCCCAGTAGAGACTGGGATCACCTCCCTTCAATGACCTACCACTGCCCTGTCAGACCAAGTCACCCCTCTGACTAATAAAGACTAAATAAAGTATACCTTTACCCGAAAGCCATGCTGATGAGCCATTAGGGCTCCTAGTGGTGGCAGTGGTACTTTGTGGGGCCCAATTGTCCTGGGTGAGAAAGTCCCTTCAGCCTCTGCTCAGAGTTCTGAACTTAACCCCCGAGCAGCCCCAAAACAGCTCCCTCTGCTTGCCTGAATTGTCTAGCCTTAGACCCAGGCTGTTGCGCACCTATGCCGCCCTCCCCTCCTCGGACCCCCTCCCCCCACACCTCTCCCCGCGCCTCTTCCCCAACCCTACTTGCAGTTCCTCTCGCTCCTCCCCCCTTCCGCAGACCCCCCTCCCCGCTCCTCCCCCCCTTTCTTCTTCCCCCTCCCCCTATGCCTCCATGTCCCCCCACCTCCTACTGCTCCGCCCTCTCCCAGCGATCCACCCCCCAGACTCTCCCAACACCTCCTCCCCGAGGCTCCACCCCCTACCCCACCCCACCCCTTGTGGCCCTGCAGCTACTACCCCCACAGCTGCCCCCTACTGCGACCCATCCCCTCCTCCATGCTCCCCCAACCCCCGCAGCAGCTTCTCCTCCCACCTCTCCCCCCTCCTCGCCCCGCCGCTCCGTCTCCTGTCACACCCCCCCACCTCCTATTGCCAGCCCCGCCCGCCATGTTCCCTGCCCGTACGCCTTCGTGGCGCTGTGCCCCCTGCCGGCCTCCAGAACTGAGCACCGAGGCCTTACAGCCACGCCAGGAGCCTCCCAGGGCTGACAGAAAGGCGGCGCTCTAGAAAGTTCTCCACTCTTCCGGGACTTTCTCACCCAGCTCCCATAGGGGGCGTTTCGCTGACTCGTGAGGCAGACCCGGAGCCGCTAGGGGTAGAAGTGGCCTATGTGTGGCGTCTGCCCAGGCTAACAGTGGTCGCCGTGGTCTGCGCGGATCTTCGCTATGGGGGAGGGGCAGTTTCACTCAATTCATATACGGCTGATCACAGGCCTCTGGATTAACGTCAGTATTCTGGTTCAATTTTTTCAGAGACCCCAGAAGGGGGCGTCTCAGGGCAAAAAAAAATCAAGTGACCCCTGCCTGAGGCTTTTTAAGGCTGGTGGCAGCCGCGGGACTACAGGGCTCTCCTTCTGTGGGTAGACGGTCTCCTCAGACCTCACCCAGTGGTCTTACCGTCTGGCGAGGCCTGGACTGCTCGGTCCGTCGACTCGACGCTACCCCTCTGGCAGAGGTCGGTACTCCAGTAAACTCCAGGAGCGGAAGTCGGGGGGCAGCATATCCGGCGGCTCTTGCGTGGGACCTTCCAAGGTGGCCGCGGGGGTGGTACCGTGGTTTTGCGGCGAACCCTGTGTTACCGAATGGGAGGTACCATAAGTTCTCTCCTCGGAGGTAAGTCCATATTTTGTATCCTGGCTCACCGTTGAAGTCCGCTTTGGGGAATGTCACCTCCCCGTAAGCTCTGGACAGTTTCGAAACTTGTACCCTTAGAAAGAATGAGTTTGCTTCCCATTCGTGATGTGTGATGGCGAGACTGCGGCACAAGATAGGGGGCTCGGGACAGATGCTGAGCCGTAACAGAAAATTCAGAGTGACCCTGCTATCTCTTCACTAGCCAAATTTAGGCGTGTGGGAATTTTCCCGAAGATACGCTTTCTGTAGAGGGTTGCGTAATTTTCTGAGACTCAGATTTGATTTTATTTAGCATTGTGTTGTACTACATAGTGAAATTCACTTTAATTTTCACTCACATTATAGCAACAGATGTATTATATTACATGCTCTATAATTTGTCCACCAAGGCTCTTGGTTTTACCACAGTAAAACATTTACAAATGACTCATTTTAATTATTAATTGCTTTTTCTTGGGTTTTCTAAAAGGATTATATTTCGCCAAATAATTTCTATTCCTTTTTGATACTTCTAGAATCTTTTTTTTGTTTTTATATTATGTACATGTATTCTGGTAGCATACTGCTATGTCGTGTTTTTTACTTTAATGGAAATGCTCCTAACATATACATTTTGGAAAATAGGAGTCAGTTTGCTAAATGCTGCTGAATGTGTTTGTATTGATTGTTTTTTTCCAAAAGCTTTTTCTGTACCTTAGAAAATGTTCAAATGCCTTTAAAAATCTTCTCTCTTAATATGGTAGCATGTTAGGCAGTTTTTCCTTTGCATCATAGCATTTTTACATTCCTTGGGCACAGAATGTATTCACTGATATCTTGGACTTGCCATGTATTTAACATGTCCTTTGTCTCTGTGTGGATGCACTTGGCTCAAGTGTCCTTTTTTTTTTTCCAAAAAATTTATATTTTATTTCTTTGAAAGGCAGAGTGACAGAGACAGATGGAGAGACAGGGAGGGAGGGAGAGAGGGAGGGAGGAAGGGGGTGGAGAGAGAGAGAGAGATCTTCCACCTACTGGTTCACTCCCCAAATGGCTGCAATGGCCAGGGCCAGGCCAGGTCAAAGCCAGGAGCCTAGATCTGCAGCTGGGTCTCCCACTTGGGTGCAGGGGCCCGAGCACTCAGGCCATCTGCTGCTGCTTTCCAAGGCACATTATCTGGGAGCTGGATCAGAAGTGGAACAGCCAGGACTCCAACCAGCTCCCCTATGGGATGCTGGTGTCCCTGGTGGCAGCTTAACCTACTGTGCCACAACGCAGGCCCCTTTCATTTGCAATTTCAAATTTAATGGTTATATGCATTCTTTTTTGTTGCTTTTAATCTTCATTTTTACTTTTTATTTTTGAGATAACTTGTTTTTAATTTACATTATAGCCAGAGGCTTAATGTTACACTAAATAAAGAGTTAAACAAATAAAAAGTAAACAGACCACATTACTTCTGAGTTTATTAGGTGAAATATATCTTCACATAGAAAGCATTTTTCATCTGCCATGTGGTAATGCTATTTATTGTGTTCTTATATACTTTAAATTCTTTCTTTTTATACAATATTATTTAACTGGTATCACTTATTTTTTCTTTTGTGATTGATGATAGTTATAAAATTGTCCACTTTATATTTTTTTTCAAAGAATTTGTTTTTGTTATTTGGCTCCACTGTCTTATTCAACATTTCTGTATTTATATTCATTAATTTCTATATTCTACTTCTTATTTAATATGTTATTATTTTTCAAGCTTCTTGAATTTTTGCGTGTTTAAAATTTTTTTGGATTTTTTTCTAATCTATTTAGAGCTATAAATATCCCTGTGAGTACTGTGTGAGCTGTTTCTCACAGAACATATTAAAGAGCTTTACGTGTAGTGCATGAATATTTTATAGTTTGAATATATGAGGGTACTTCAAAAAGTTTGTGGAAAATAGAATTAAGACATAAGTTTATTTTGGTGCAAATTTTTTTAATCTATACATTTTTTAATCTATACATTTTCTTAAGAAGCATTTAAAAGAGTTTATTTATTTATTTGAAAGTCAGAGTTACAGAGAGAGAAGGAGAGACAGAGAGGGAGATCTTCCATCTGCTGGTTTACTCCCCAGATGGCCACAATGGCCAGGGCTGGGCCACACCAAAGCCAGGAGCTTGTAACTTCTTCTGGTCTCCCATGTGGGTGGCCAAGACCCACACACTCGGCCCATCCTCCGCTGCTTTTCCCAGGCTATTACCAGGGAGCTGCATCAGAAGTGGAGCAGCTGGGACATGAAATTGTGCCCATGTGGGATGTAGAGTCATAGGCAGCAACTTTACCGGCTATGCCACAAAGCAAGCCCCCAAAATATGCATTTTAAATGAACATTTTGAAGATTTGTTGTAAAAATACAAATATAGAATAAGAATAGAATGAAAAGAAGACTAAGGAAAAAATGAATATTCAATAAGCTTTATTTTGATAATGCTTAATTATGTACTTTAATTCATTGATAAACATAGGTCAAATATTTGAATAATACTGCATTTATGCTTTTCATATAATTGATGACATTGTTTATATATTCTTTTTTTAAAGATCTATTTATTTATTTGAAAGGCAGAGTTACAGAGAGAGGGAGAGAATGAGAGAATCTTCCATCCATTAGTTCATTCCCCAGATGACTGCCATAGTCAGAACTGGGCCGGTCTGAAACCAGGATGCAGGAGCTTCTTCCAGGTCTCCCACGTGGGTGCAGGGGTCCAAGCACTTGGGCCATCCTCCACTGCTTTTCCAAACACATTAGCAAGGAAGTGGAGCAGCCAGGACATGAACCAGCACCCCTATGGGATGCCGGCGAAACAGGTTTTGGCTTTACCTGCTACACCACAGCGCCAGCCCCTATATATTCTTTTATAATATGCATTTTATTTATTTGAAAGAGTAACAGAGAGAGAGAGACAGCGAGAAAGAGGTCTTTCACCTGCTAGTTGGCTTTCAGATGATCATAACTACCCAGGCTGGGCCAGGTCAAAGCCAGGAGCCAGGAATTCCTTCTGGGTCTCCACTTAAGTAACAGGGGCCCAAGTACTCGGGCTATGTTTTGCTGCTTTCCCAGGCACAATAGCAGGGAGCTGGATTGGAAGCAGAGCAGCCAGGATTTGAGCCAGTACTCCAGAGAAGGGATGCCAGTATCATAGGCAGTGACTCGACACACTGCACAACAAAGCTGGCCCCATTCTTTATATATTCTTCAATTGATCTCAATCTCAATATCAATTGTTTTAGAGCTCACTTACTCTTTATTCTGTAATTGATTTCTAATATATTTGGTCATAGATAACCAACTCCCAAACATAACAAAAATATGCTTCGCAATTAAGGCTAAATAAGTTCTAGGTGAGTAACTTTTTGAAGCTCAGATTATTACAAAATAATCTGGTAGTTTACCCATATAAAATGTTACTAATAAAAATTCATTATTATCACAAAGGAAGCTCATTACTGCCTAATTATAATAAAAGTCTAAGAAATATCCAAGATGTTAAACAGATAAGAATAATAAGCTAATTTATGACAAATAAATGTTTATGTGAACTATACATAGAAATTATAAGGCATAAGCCCCAAAGAAGGGAGTAAGATATAGTATGGGAGAAATTTATACATTGCCTAGCCTTTGTCTAGAAGGACTAGCTTTTTAGCTGTTCATTTCATAAAGAGGTGGCACTTTGCCCAAAATTAATCACTGTGGCTTATTTATGCAACTGATGTGGTTATTCGGTTATTCTCAGAGAGATCAAATTTTGATATTCACATTGATTTTATAATCATGAACCAGCTATTATGGTCTAAGATGATTTTGGCAAGTCTTTTGTGCAACAGGCATCTTTACCCCTCTCTGCTACTTCTGCTGCACCTGAAATTTATATCTAATCAGTGGGCTTATAGTCCCTACTTTACTGAAAGTGTCTTGAGCCCTAACAGTTTTTCACATTATTAATCTCTGCCCCATTGAAAATATACTTACTTACTTTAATTGTATTTGAGACAGAACGTGTGCATGCACATACATACCAACACATACACATACAGAGAGAGAGAGAGAGAGAGAGAGAGAGAGAGAAGCGAGAATGAATCTGCCATCTGCTGGTTCACTTCCCAGATGCACAAAACATCCAGTGCTGGGAAAGGCTTCTGGAAGTCAGGAGACAGGAACTTTATCTGAGTTTCCCGTGTGGGTGCCAGGGACCCGTGCTTTTGAGTCATCATCTGCTCCTTGAAGGGAATGCGTTATCAGGAAGTTGGAATCTGAAGCAGAGCCAGGATTTGAACCAGGCACTCCAATATGGGATGAGGGTGTACCAAGTGAGTTCTTAACTGCTGTGTGTATTTCCTGTCCCTGACTCATTTTTAAAGTGTTAATCAATTACTGGTTTCCATATTTGTTTCCAATTATTAGACCTGGGGATGAGTTGAGATTCGTGGCAATACAGAGGTAGTTTTAAAGGGGGAAAAGAATGCTTTCATCATCTTATAATTTAGGCATATCATCTGTCATAATTTTTAGTTTGTATTTTTAGTATGCTTCTAGAAATTAGGAAACACATTAGCATTGCCTTTTTCTAAGTTTCTAAGAACAGGAATAATAGAACAGGAACTACAGACTTAAAACATCCTCAAAAACTAATATTCCTAGGACTGCAGTGAATGCTCCAAAATCTATTTTCTCATGTATATGTATGTCTGAGTTTTAAAGTTCCAATCCTGGGGCCAGAGCTGTGGCATAGTGGGCTAATCTTCCACATGCAGTGCCAGCATCCCATGTGGGTATTGGTTCATGTCCCGGCTGCTCCTGTGCTAGGGCCCTTGCATCTGTGTGAGAGACCCCAAAGAAGTTCCTGGTTCCTGGCTCCTGGCTTCG